ATTTGAACATATGATCTTCCACCAAATAAACCAACTAGCATCAACTACAAGGAGTAATCAACACTACTATCAACCTACTAGCACCAATCCGGACTTGGAGACAAGAATTGGATACAAGAGATGAACTAGGGTTTGGAGATGAGATGGTGCTGGTGAAGATGTTGATGGAGATTGCCCTCTCCCAATGAGAGGAGCGTTGGTGATGACGATGGTGATGATTTCCCCCTCCCGGCGGGAAGTGTCCCCGGCAGAACAGCTCTACCGGAGCCCTAGATTGGTTCCGCCAAGGTTCCGCCTCGTGGCGGCGGAGTCTCGTCCCGAAAGGTTGCTTCGTATTTTTTTCTCATCGAAAGACTTCATATAGGAGAAGAAGGGCGTCAGAGAGCCACCAGGGGGCCCACGAGGTAGGGGGCGCGCCCAGGGGGGGCGCCCCCCACCCTCATGAGCAGGGTGTGGGCCCCCTGGCCTTCATATTTGGCGACAATTTTTCTTTATTTATTTTAAGGTATTCTATGGAGTTTCAGGACCTTTGGAGTTGCACAGAATAGGCCTCCAATATTTGCTCCTTTTTCAGCCCAGAATTCCAGCTGCTGGCATTCTCCCTCTTCATGTAAACCTTGTAAAATAAGAGAGAATAGCCATAAGTATTGTGACATAACGTGAAATGACAACCCATAATGCAATAAATATCGATATAAAAGCATGATGCAAAATGGATGTATCAAGATCGCACAAGAACAAAGGCTTGCGGTGGCGATAAAAATGTTTTGGGTCTCACTCTGGGGTTTCTAGATTTTAGGGAATTTGTAGCGCCAGAATTAGGGCAAACGGAGCCTCGAGGAGCCCACAAGCTTGGGGGGGCACGCCACCTGAGCTTGTGGGCCTCTGGTAGGTCTTCTAGACCTCCCCTTAGCTTCTAGGGTATCTTCTGGTCCATAAAAAATTACCATAAAGTTTCATCGTGTTTGGACTTCTTTTGGTATGGTTCTTCTAAGAAACAAAGAAATAGGCAAAAAAACATGAACTGGCAGTAGGCACTGAGTTAATAAGTTAATTCCCAAAAATGATATAAAATGGCGTATAAAGCATAAAAAATTAATAATATAGTAGCATGAAACAATAAAAAAATTATATATACATTGGATGCGTATCAATAAGTTATCTTCATTTAGTTATTTAGCAACTAAACTCTTCCATACATTAGCGAGCTTCCTTCATTTAAGTGTTTTGCATAGGTTCACGCATTTGGCATTGTCTCTTTCTAGAATCATCAAAGTGTTCTCTCTCCTCAACTGTTTTGCCATGTCGTTTTTTCACTTATGTGACATGTTTAACATCTGTGCACCATGGAGCAATGGGAGTACAAAATACTCCCTCCGTCTCAAAATAAGTGTCTCGAGCTTAGTACAAATTTGTACTAGAGCTAGTACAAAGTTCAAACACTTATTTTGGGACGGAGCGAGTATAATTTAGGGAATACAAAACACAATTCTAACTTCAAAGGCATTAAAACATTGTGGGCCTGCTTGGTTAAAAGACAACTCGGTATTGCCACTCGGTGTTAGCAAGGTGTTTGGGTCATAGCCACGGTGAATCGGTGATGCAATTTTTCCTCCTAAGCCCCGCAGGTCATACTCCATCTGTTCTAAATTAATTAAAATTCTAGTTTTGTCAAAAACCAAACTTCTTTTACTTTGACCAAGTCTATAGAAAGATGTATCAACATTTATAACGTCAAGATAGTTTCATTGATTCAGCATGAAATATACTTTCATAGCATATACATTTGATGTGGTATATATACTAGTATATTTTTCTATAGAGCGGACAAAGCTAGAACTCTTATTAATTTAGAACAAATGGAGTAGCTATTTTACATATTAATTTAGAACAAATGGACAAAGCTAGTACATATATATTTGTGTGGAGGTTGGTTAAGTTGTGTCTCCATTGATTTTGACAAAAACTATATAGGAATATTTTACATACAAGATATCCTTAGACATTAACCAAAAAGCATGGCTTGCACGCAAAAAAATAAGGAATAGATCACAAGTTGCATGGAGGCCCTTTTCTTTCTGAAAGATAAAAATACACTTTGAAATCTTAAGAAATTATGTGCCTACCAAATTGTATCTTTTTTAGATCACACATTTTTTAATAAAAGTATATTAACATGTAATGCACATCTATATGTATATGTAGGAAATATTGCATAACTATTGAAGATGCCCTTAGTCGGTCCGTCACAAGTTCACATTATTCACTATAGACTTGTACAGTTTATGAGCATGTGCATCTGTACCACGCTATTCTACTTTATTCTCCGCTACATCATCCCATACACATTATTTTATAGGATATATACTTTATCAACGACAACATCATAACTATTGAAGATGCCCTCAGTCGGTCTATCACAAGTTCACGTGCATCTACTGTGCATCTACTGTAGACATCATCTGTAAAGTTAGTAAAGGTGTCTTTTCCCACATGAAATTTGACTCTAGCAGATGGATTTTCTATGGCATGCATCGATATCAGCCCACCTCTCTCCTACGAACCACTAGATCTGGGCATTGCATTTGTTTGCGTCCTCGCTTGCAACACCCTAGCTAAACATTGCCCATCAGCCATTAGACGAATGATTAACTGAGGGCCTCGTTAGTGAAGCGTTTATTTCGTTCATAAACGTGCGTTTTAGTCAGCGTAAATGCAGAGCAATGTACCACTTCTGTGTGCTCACAGCTCAAGTTACAACACAGTTGTGAGAACTTATACAAAGCAAAGTCATCTTTGTTTCCTTACTAGAAAAGTCCACTTTTCAACCCTCAAGTTACCAACAGTATTGAAAGTTTAGGTGTGCAGTAATAGGTTTTGAAGTTGAGATTTGATTCTTAAAGAGTTAAATACACCATCAGTGCCTTTACTTGTCCGACGCGGTCACTTTGATGCCAAACTTATAAAATACATGAAACTGATGTTGTAACTTGTCCGAGCGTTCGAATACGTTGCCTCCGTCCGTACCCGGCCGTATGCACTGCCCCTATGGTATGTAAATGTACCGTTGGCCCACATGTCAATGGCTATGAGAGGAGCGTGCTGGTTGTTTTTACAGAAAACGACATGTACTTTAATTAAATGTCACAAAAGCTCTTCACATTTTATTTAAATATGTCGAACTGTATTGTTCCCACATGTTAGCACGTGGGATGAGATAGTAACAAGAAAGAAAAGGGCGTGCCGGCAGGATTCAAACCAAGTACCTGGCGCATAGCATGTACACAAAGTGCTGTTCGTCCGGCTGGCTAGCGTGCATGCTATTTAACCTGAAGTCCCAGGTTCGTAACCCATTCAATGACGCAATATATTTTTCCAATGTTATTAGCATACAGAATAAGGGCTTTTGCGACATTAAATTAAACCTCATGGTGTTTTTTTGCAAAGAAAACTCACATGCATCTCAGCCTGCGCAGGCGACCCTCACACCCACAGACATGTGGGCCAGGCACCAGCTGGCTACAAACAGTGATACTATATATGCATATAATACCACTTTTGTGTATTTTACAAGTTTGGGCACTAAACTGATCGCAACGGACAAGTTAAGACACCCATGTTGTATTTAACTCGTTCTTAAACCAATTAGTAACTTGTAGGTTGAAAAGTGGACTTTTCTCTTTCCAAATAGAAAAAAATTCCTTAACTATACAGTAGTGAATTAGAAACATGTTTAAGTTGGTCAGCTGAAAATGAGCAATTGCGTGTTAATGCCTAAATATTTATTTAGTAATGATTGCATTAGGAAAATTGCTACACACTGCAATTATAATACTGGAACAACAACTCATCTGGAATAAACACTTGAGTTTCTTTCATTTCCTTTGTGTCCGCCAATGCACTCACTGTTACATCGTCTTACAAGAATCAACATATAATATTATAACCTGCTCTTGGTTACAGGAATTACTGCACCTAACATGTCCGACTAAACAACACTCAAAAGCTCAATGTCCACACAAGAACAAGATGGAAATACATTTCTCGCCGGGGCAAACTCATTTATATATCCGATAAAGATTACAGACTGAGGTTCTCATACCCAATGAAGGTTACAGATTGAGGAGGGGCCTTCCTCATGGAAATCGGATAATTATAGGAATAACCTGTGCACATCTCTTGGCGTAAATCAGCGACACATCTCTTCACTTTCACATTATAGGAATGAGCTTGGCTGGGCAGCACAGTTGATTGTGTCAGCGACCTTCAGTGAAGCTTTTATGGCTTTGGACACATTCTTTTGTTGGAATTGCCTCTTCAAAGAATATGTAGAAAAAATCAACACAACGGTGAGGGGGAAAATGATGCACGCAAACTTCTTTTACTCTGCGTACTCGAAGTCAGGATCCATATCTAATTTCCTTTTTAGACACGACTTGTCAGCACTGCAAAAGAGGTTTAAATGGTCAATATTTCACATGAAGAGAGCTGAATAAATATAATCCTAGATTCAATAGGCTCACTGGTCACATTTTAGAAACTGGAATAAGTTCCAGTGGTCAGACTAGTGCTGTTTACCTATTCAATGTTGGTCGAGGAGCTGGTCGTGTGCCAAACACAACTCCAACATCAACTGACATTGGTATTCTAGAACTCTGACTGGACATGCCCTCGCTGCGCCTCATGCCTGTAGTAGGATGCTCTTCTGCTTTCTCTGCTGGATGAGCATTGATTTCCATCCCATCAGGGGCAGACACTCTGCGCAACTTCCTCGGCGGGGACACAACGACAGGGCCGCCCTGCAGATTCAGATCAGGTATCTTGTCATTCCCTGGGTCCCCTTTCAGCTTAGGCCTTGGCAGCAAATTTGGTTTTGTTGGAGCTGGTACTGATGAGAAGTACCTTCACATGAAACATGAGCACAGTTTCATTAGGCATACTGGTAACAGAGAAAGGCTTGTGTTTCTGGTCGGTCACATTCACATCAGCATACCTGTGTTCTAGAGCCTGCTGAGCAGTGATTCTTGCTTTTGGGTCATATGTAAACATTCTTGACAGAAGGTCCAAAGCATCATCACTGGCCATTGGAAACAACGAACGAAGAGGGGGAGCAGAGACAAACTGGTATTCAACGTAATCTGGAAGGCAAACCATGTCTGGCCATTGAGAAGACTTTGGGGTTCCAAATGCCGCAAAGATCTTCCCGAGTTGATCAATGTCACTAGAACCCTGCATCATTTAATTTTAGTAACTTGGAGTGCCCCTGAAACCTCGTCAAATGCCAAAATGGAAGTTGCTAATCATTTACTTAAACTAGAGTTTCACAGTTTCAAACTCAGGCATACCCTTAAACATGCCACCCAGAAGGAATGTTTGTTACACTCCCTAAGGATTAATCCAGGAAAGAAGGTCATTCGTTAGAAGTAGCATCCTAAGGGATTTAAGAAACCAATGCTTACAAAAGCCACATGTGGGAGTGCTGTCCTAAATGGTTTTATATTGTACTCCCTCTGTTTGCAGCTACTCCAGCGACATATATTACGGTACAGAGGGAGTGCTCAATAAACTTGACAGGACTGCCATATTTTCTCTTGCTAAAAAACGTTTCTATTGAAAGTGGGACAATATTTTCTCTCTAGATAAATCTAACAAACATTCTAGATCAACTGCAGCTTCAGAATCAGAAAATGGTGGTGGCATACAAAGGCTCAGCAAGACTGCTTTCCTCGTATGGAAGTCTTCAAACCAGGACATATATCATAAAGCATTTGATGAGCATCTAAGACTTAAAATGAACTACCATCGACACCTCTGCAGCTAGTAAGAACTTGTTGCGTAACTTTAAGCAAAAGTGAAGCCCACAATGATGAGTATAGACTATAGGGCATTGTTTCTCCAAGCATGAGTAATCATCATATGTGGAACCATTTGTTAGATAACTTTTTTGAGAAAATAACAGCAAATACATATTTCTAGTTCACTTATAATTGGCACCGGTTCTTATATTTTTCACCTTCCGCTACCATAATGAACCGCATCCATGAACTTTTGATTTTTTTTCTCATGCTTACATTTCCAATGCACACCATAGATTGGACCCCGGGGGGGTGTCTGCGGCAAGATAAGAAAAAAGGCTGGTACAACTGGCCTTAATAAAAAATGCTCGATCATTCACTTCATTGAAACATAGTTATGCTCAATCACCAACATTAAACGTTCATGTTAGCTAGCCACACAGATTCCATGGTATATTTCTACCTCAGATCAAGTCCACAGAGTTTAATAATACAGGCAGAATGATAACCAGTAAGTAAAAGTTCAATTTTCAGTGGTAAAAGCACCCTACTGGGTAACCAGAAATGCACAGAACAGTGAACACTGAAAACCTTTCTGCAGTTAAAACAAGTAGGTACCCTGCTCTCCTGCTCTCAGCTATATGTTCACCCAAAACTATTATGCATATACAGAGTGCACATAACCAAATAAACAAAAGACTACTATATCAGATGGGAAGGAGGAAAAACACAAGGCATCATTTATACACAAGAGATTGGAAGGAAGAAGAGAAGTGATGCATTTTTCCTGCTAGGCTTGAGAAACCAAAATCAACATGGTATTTCCTTTTAGGTTTAGCTTTCACCAATTCTGGGCAAAAAAGAAAGCACAGTTCAAGGGAATAACTAAATCTGGTAAAGCAGCCTAGCACCAACCACAACCATATCTCTGGAACACTTAGCCAGGAGAATATTTATACGCAAACCAGCCCCACTGATTACCAAGAAAACAATATTGTGAAGTTGAACTACATATTTGTGTGAACAAGACAACAGGTATACCTTTCTTTATCACTGCTATATTTTGTTTCTTTTCAGTTTTAACAGTCTGGCATAAATGCTTGCATGTTATGTGGATAGGAGCAATTAGCTCCCGGTTCACACAATCTACTGTCAAATGTTTGAATCCTCCAAAAAGAAATTAAGTCGAATTCCCTCTGTAACATACTATAAGACGTTTTTGGACACTGCCATGGACTCTAAAACATCTTATAAAATGTTACAGAGGGAGTACAGTTTTTTTATGTTAAATTAAGGCATGCATTTTTTACATTAAATTAAGTCACACATGAAAGCAGTTTGTTTAATTAATCCATTAGCAGGCTCAAAGTGATCTATTTTCTGGGACAACACAAGAAACCCACAGGGGCAGACCAATTTCCAGTTTTTCCCATTGTACTTACAGTCCGGTCGAGCTTTCAAAACGATGTTTTGAGTTGTGAGATAAAAACTGTTTCACCTATGCAGTTATCACATCATCAATGAACAGTGTACTTAGCCATACACATGTTACATTCAGAGTCAAAGATAATATATCTTAATCAGACATAGATTCAAATGAATAAATATATTGACCATATTGAGAAAACTGAGAGGCTGTTAAACCTGGAGAAATGGTCTTCTAAGCAGCAACTCGGCAAAAATACAACCAGCAGCCCAAACATCAACGGCAGATCCATACTGCTTAGTGCCAAACAGTAACTCTGGCGCTCGGTACCATCTTGCAAAGACCTAAATGTGGTGAAAAAACAGTCAAATTTCAAGTGTCCATCAAGACAATGTAACTCAATCAAAAGATAAAGTGCAAATTAATCACATTGCAGTAAACCACAGTATGAAATAAGACTAGAGATGGTATTTGCCTAGGTGATGTTTAATGTTGTACTGAATAAAAGTGATGGACTAAGAGATCTTCCAGATATAATGTAACTTTTTGCTGGGAGGATCTAATGTAACTTGCAAGAATGAAAATCCACAGCGAGCATAAATCATTTACAATAGTTAGCATCCGTTTCTGATCAGCATCAGTGAGTTTGAAAGAAGTATCCTTGTTAATATATTTTTTACTCCCTCCGTTCCTAAATATAAGACGTTTTGGCAGTTCAAATTGAGTTGCCAAAACGTCTTATATTTAGGAACCGAGGGAGTAGCACTTTTCATAATTACATCACCAAGGAATCAACAAAGAGCAATCCAAAAGCTCATATAGGAAGCAAATATCATTCAGATGTCCTCAGAATAGCTCAATAGCATATTTTTGTTCTATCCAGAAAGCTTTTCTATCCTAGAATAGTCAGCAGCTCCAAGGATACTTCACTTAGCTGGTTTAAGATATTTTATCTTTTAAATTTTAGCAGGCTATTGCTACCGCGAGGAGATATAATCTACAGACAAATCTATCTACCTCCAAAGTGCCATGGTACTCCAAATTAATATTGTTATTGTAAATAATTGTACGATCAACAAATACTGGCATGCATGTATCATGTTCTTAATGGATAAGCTGAAAATTAGAAGCATCAACCAACACTAGGCCTAGAGGCATATAAAGCATAGGAAGTAATAATACTACTTGAAGAAAGTTGCCACCATACATTTTTATTTCTATAACCAACTTCTGGGATTTCTAAGAGTCCGGGACTCAATTAACTGAATGCATATTTACATAGATCTATTAACAAGAACCTGGTGAGTGAAGTTCCGTTCTGGGCTCCCAAATATGCGTGCTAGACCAAAATCGCCAAGCTTGAGCTGTCCTTCAGCACCGATAAGTAGATTATTTGGTTTCATATCCCTGCAGTACAGCTTGTGTCAAAGACTCGAATGTTGTTTTCCCAAAAAGAAGTTAGCCAGATAGTAGGTACCTGTGCAGCACCCACTTCTTATGGCAAAAGGCTAGACCTTTCAACATCATCTGAATATAAGATTTTATGTCCGCTGGAGATAATACAATGTTCCTATCACGAATGACTGCTTCCAGGTCTGTTTCCATGAACTCAAATACAAGGTGCAAGTTTCCCTTGTAAGGGAAAGCATCAATCAACTCTATAATATTAGGATCTTTCAGCTCCTTAAGCAGCTTGATTTCCCTCAATGCAGTGAAGTTGACGCCTTCCTTGTACTTCCCTAGGCGGATTCGCTTGATTGCAACTGTTTCCCCAGTCTGAAAATAAAAGGCATGCCATTTATGATCATTAGATCAAACGGACAGAAGTATCACAATGAAACCTGAGCAAGCATCATCAAAAGCAGAATGAAACCTGTCAAGATTAAATCCTAGAGAGCTGAAAGAGTTAACTTGGGAATACTGAACACCTCCTGAATAAAATTTTAACACCTTGGACCCCTAGCCCTATTATCCCAGAGATGCAAGACTATTAAGCACCAAATGGTATGACCTGTCATTCCACTACTACAGGTTTGCCAAAACCAGCACTGCAGCTAAAACCCACCATAGTGTCAACAGGACCGGCTCAATCAGCGATGCCAGTGAAGGCACGAAACAAGGTGAATTACATTCTCATAGGAGCTAATCACGCATGGCGGGAGGCTAGCCTGCTCGGCCTCCGCTGAGAAACAACCCTAGCCAATTCACGCCGAGCCCAGAACAACCAGCGAGGCCAATTCAAAGAGCTGCCGCGACCAAAAGCCCTAAACCCTAAGCTGAATCGCTCCCACAACCTATATCCACCACAAAGCAGACGGACGGACCAAGGGGGGACGGAGCCGCCTGAGGCCTAATTCTCGAGGGGCGGGCGCAGATCAGCGCGCCGCGAGGGTTTAGGAGCGGGGGCGGGGGGGAGGGAAGGTCCGACCTTGGTGTCGATGGCCTTGAAGACGACCCCGTACGTGCCCTCTCCGAGGACCTCGCGCTTGAGGTAGCGGTCCGTGACGCGCTTCTCGCCCGCGTCGTCGCCGCCGCCGCTCGCCATGTGGGGCGGGGCCCACAGCCAGCCTCCCCTCCGGAGGGGGCGGCGCAGGGGAGGGGATCCCGGAGAGCGCGGGGGCGGGAGGGGCCGGCGGGGGGCGAGGGGGCGGCGGGCGGGGGCGCGGCGAGGTGTGCGCTGCTGCGGCCCTGCCGTTCGGCGCCGGGGGAAGAGGAAGGAGGAAAGGAAAATTCCGTGTTTTCGCACTATATTTCGGCCTAGGTGTTTGTTCCGGATTCCGTTTGTAAATGGGTTTGCCTTTTCTTTCTTGGTCTTGGACCGCTCCTCCACGCCCGTTTGTGGATCGGAAGTCGGATTGAGTTGGGCCAGCTCGCTGATGAGGGTTTCCGTTGGTTGGTTGTTTCGGACCGTTTGAATCGCGAGCGATGACCTAGGGCACAACCAAGTACTGTACCATATTTTCCGAAAAAGTACACATATAATTTTTTTAGAAGACTTCTGATCTAGAATTAATCAACTATCAAGGTAGTATAAATAACACAACCAAGTATTGTAGTCATCATTATTCAATTATTGAATCGATATGGAGAACTTGACACCAAATCTCGTTGTCACGTATGCACGACGAGAAATCCTAACCAAACTGCTCGGAGGAGCTAGCGGGAATCTATGTGAAGAAAATATGCCCTAGTGGCAATAATAAAGTTATTATTTTATATTTCCTTATTCATGATAAAAGTTTATTATTCATGCTAGAATTGTATTAATCGGAAACTTAAATACATGTGTGAATACATAAACAAATACCGTGTCCCTAGTAAGCCTCTACTAGACTAGCTCGTTGATCAAAGATGGTTAAGGTTTCCTAACCATAGATATGTGTTGTCATTTGATAACGGGATCACATTATTAATGATGTGATGGACAAGACCCATCCGTTAGCTTAGCATTATGATCATTCCGTTTATTGCTATTGCCTTCTTCATGTCAAATACATATTCTTTCGACTATGAGATTATGCAACTCTCGAATACCGGAGGAATGCCTTATGTGCTATCAAACGTCACAACGTAATTGGGTGATCATAAAGATACTCTACAGGTATCTCCGAAGGTGTTTGTTGAGTTGGCATAGATCAAGATTAGGATCTGTCACTCCGAGTATCGGAGAGGTATCTCTAGGCCCTCTCGGTAATACACATCATAAGAAGCCTTGCAAGCAAATGACTAATGAGTTAGTTATGAGATGATGTATTACGGGACGAGTAAAGAGACTTGCCGATAACAAGATTGAACTAGGTATAGAGATACCGACGACCGAATCTCGGGCAAGTAACATACTGATGGACAAAGGAAATTACGTGTGTTGTCATAACGGTTCCATCGATAAAGATCTTCATAGAATAGGTAGGAGCCAATATGGGCATCCAGGTTCTGCTATTGGTTATTTACCAGAGAGGTGTCTCGGTCATGTCTACATAGTTCTTGAACCCGTAGGGTCGGCACGCTTAACGTTCGTTGACGATATAGTGTTATATGAGATATATGATTTGGTGACCAAATGTTGTTGGGAGTCTCGAATGAGATCACGGACATGACGAGGACTCTCAAAATAGTCGAGAGGTAAAGATTGATATATAGGACGATGGTATTCGGACACCGAAAGTGTTTTGGAGTGTACCGGGTAGTCATCGAAATACCGGAGGGGGTACCGGACCCCCCGGGAGGATAATGGGCCTATTGGGCCATTAGAGGGGAGCACACCAGCCCACAAGGGGCTGGCGCACCCCTATGGCAGCCGCCCAGGTGGGGGTAAGGAAAGGGGGGGGGGGATTTGGCCTCCCCCTTCCTTCCCTCTTCCCCCTTTCCTTCCCCCCTCCGACAAATATGGTAAGCGGGGCGCCACTTGGGAAGGACCCCAAGTAGGATTCGGCCTACTTGGGGGCGCCTCCTGGCTGCTCCCTCCTCCCCCCACCTATATATATTGAAGAAAATATGCCCTAGAGGCAATAATAAAGTTGTTGTTTTATATTTCCTTATTCATGATAAAATTTATTATTCATGCTAGAATTGTATTGATCGGAAACCTTGATGCATGTGTGAATACATAAACAAACACCGTGTGCTCTACTAGACTAGCTCGTTGATCAAAGATGGTTAAGGTTTCCTAACCATGGACATGAGTTGCCATTTGATAACGGGATCACATCATTAGGAGAATGATGTGATGGACAAGACCCATCCGTTAGCTTAGCATTTGATCGTACAGTTTATTGCTACTGCTTTCATGTATGTCAAATACTGAAAGCACAAGTGCTCCTTGGGTGATTTCGGTAATTCATGACAACATATCTCTTGTTGGACTAATACTTCTACCTAGTGCATTTCAGATAAGTTCAACATTGAAGTGGCTTGGACATGGACAAGAGGATGTGGAACCCCTTCAAGATGTTGAGGACAAATATTGGCAAAAGCTCAAGACTCTAATTTTTCCATTTTAGTGATCCAATATCACATTGAGTCCATAGGAAAGCCAATACTATTAAAAGGGGATGAGGTGTTGCTTAATGGGTTACTTGCTCAAAATGCTTAGTGATATGCTCCAAAACCCTCAACCACTTTCTCATTTCCGCATATGTCCTAAACCTAAATGTTAAACTCGGCCCCACCGATTTTGTCTATCCGGCACCACCGAGTTTCATCATATTCAGCCACTGCCAAACCCTAGTTACTTCGATCTCACCGATGGGATCTCGGTCTCACCGAGATGGGATTGCAAACTCTTTGTTTCCATTTTGTAACATTTTGGTCTCATTGAAATGAGCAAATCGGTCCCACCGAGTCTGCATTGCAAAGTCCCTATTTCCTTTTCGTAACACTTCGGTCCCACCGAAGTGAGCAAATCGGTCCCATCGAGTTTGCCTGACCAACCCACTATGTACCTACTGCTGAAATCGGTCACACCGAGTTTATGCGATCGGTCACATCGAGATTACGTTATGCCCTAACCCTAGCATATCGGTCCCACCGAGATGACTATATCGGTCCCACTGAAAATCCTAACGTTCACATTTTTGCCTGGATCGGTCTAACCGAGTTTGTTGATTCGGTCCCATCGAGTTTGGGAATCTATGTGTAACGGTTAGATTTTGTGTGGAGGCTATATATACCCCTCCACCCACTCTTCATTCGTGGAGAGAGCCATCAGAACAAACCTGCACTTCCACTACTCATTTTCTGAGAGAGAACCACCTACTCATGTGTTGAGGCCAAGATTTTCCAATCCTACCGTATGAATCTTGATCTCTAGCCTTCCCCAAGTTGCTTTCCACTCAAATCATCTTTCCACCATAGCCAAATCTGTGAGAGTGAGTTGAGTATTAGGGAGACAATCATTTGAAGCACAAGAGCAGGGAGTTCATCAACAACACACCATCTATTACCTTTTGGAGAGTGGTGTCTCCTAGATTGGTTAGGTGTCACTTGGGAGCCTCCGTCAATATTGTGGAGTTGAACCAAGAAGTTTGTAAGGCCAAGGAGATCGCCTACTTCATGAACATCTGCCCTAGTGAGGCAAGTCCTTCGTGGGCAATAGCCATAATGGGACAGACAAGGTTGCTTCTTTGTGGACCCTTCGTGGGTGGAGCCCTCCGTGGACTCGTGCAACCGTTACCCTCTGTGGGTTGAAGTCTCCATCAACGTGGATGTACGATAGCACCACCTATCAAAACCACGCCAAAAATCTCCGTGTCTCCAATTGCGTTTGCACACTCCAATCCCATCCATTTACTTTCTCGCAAGTTACATGCTCTACTTTCCGCTGCTCATATACTCTTTGCATGCTTGCTTGAATTGTATTGCGTATGCTTGAAATTGTGTTAATCTACTACCTCAACTTGAAAAACTTAAAAATTACCAACTTTGTTTGTTGAGGGTCTAATCACCCCCCCCCCCTCTAGACACCTCTTCTTGATCCTTTGAATTGGTATCAGAGCATTGGTCTCCATTGCTTTGGTTTAATCGCCATTGGAGGAAGATGGATGAGTCTACGTTGGGGAGTCTTAGATGTAGAGTGCCTATGCTTGATGGAAAGTTCTTTAGTGAGTGGAAAATGAGGTGCTTAGAATTTTTCATGAATATCACCTGAACAAGTACATTACTACTCCTTGTGAACCCCTTGTTGATCCCTTGCATCCTACCCATGATGAGTCTCTTGACATGATTCGCAATCATAGAACTATCAATCTTATCACTAAAGGCTTGCCTAGAAATTTGATTGGTCACTTGCCTACTCTTGATTCTGCTTATACTATATGGAGATTTCTTGAGGAACGATTTCCTGACTATTCCTTGAAAAACTTAGATGAGATTATTCACAAGTCTATTGCTTTGAATAATATGAATCCCAATGATCCTGAGTTTGGAGATTGTTTATTTGAGGTTACCAATCTTATGCATGCCAAAGGAGATGTTGGAATCATTAGCAATATTATTTCCGAAGCTATTAGAGTTCATACAGATGAACATTGTCAAAATCATATATCTAATGAATCACTCTCTCTAGGAAATGATCATTTGCAAGATGATCTTGAACATGGATACTATGATGAGGATGATGATAATGACTTTGATCTTTAAGAGTCTATGAGACACTTTAGTCTTATGGCAAACCTTCGCGGCCACATGGCTGGATGAAAGGAATGGGTCCTTGATAGTGGATGTACCGATCACATGACCTGAGATAAAGATATGTTTTGTGAGCTTGCTAAAAACGACGACCCTCAAAAGTATGTCACTTTCGGTGATAACTCAAAGGGTAAGGTGGTTGGCCTCGGTAAGGTGGCCATCTCACATGACAGCTCCATAAAAAAATTTATGCTCGTTGAATCTCTTGGCTATAATCTGCTTTCTGTATCTAGACTAGCTGACTTTGGTTCCAATGTCCTATTTACTAAAGTAGATTGCCAAGTGTTTCGAAGAGATAATCATAAAATGGTCTTTACCGGCATACGTAGAGGTGATCTATACATTGTTGATTTCACTAAA